ACACGTGTTGGGACACGTGGGAGACCTCATTGCATGCCGTCTGTTGTCGGGCTCTACATTATTTAATCTGCAATGCGGCAGAGTCAGCCCGCCGTGTTCCTGTCTCATTAAACAGGCAACCGAGTTTAACGGGCGGAAAAAAAAGAAAAAAACCCACGAAACGAATGAAACCGAGTCGGGTGCAGTTATTCCTAGTCGTATACTAACACTGAGTTGCGCATATCCGCTATTCGGCATAGAATGACACAGGCTGCCCACGCGGTGGCTGCATGTCATGATCACGATGACCATTCCACCTTTGACGTCTCTCACGATGCTGCGATATCTCGGAAGAGGTGGTCGGCTTTTCAATGATTTCTAGATTTGAAGTTTTCGTGACTGCAAGGATTCATACTCTTTGTTTTTTTCGGTCAAGTCACGTAGGTAAAAAAAATAAATTAATGAAAAACAACTAAATTAAATCACGACGTTTCGGAGGCAACACAAGCCTCCGTCTTCAGGTGGAACCGTTACAGCCAAAATCTTTAATGATTGTCAGATATCTTGGAAGAGGTGGTCGACTCTTCAATGATTATCAGATATCTTAGAAGAGGTGATTTGATTTTTAAATCCTTTATATTAAGTTCGCTTGCTTGCTTGCTTGCGTGCTTGCATGCTTGCTTGCTTGCTTACGACCGTGCAAACCTTTCGGTCGTTTTTTTAACCCACTTCCCGTGATCCAATCGAGCTGACATTTTGCACACAGACTCGTTGTGCGAGACAATTCCAAAATTTTACACTGTTTAGGGAAAACAAATTAAATATTTAATTACCAATTGTTTAATACTGCAGACAATCATCTGACTCATAGGTGGCAGCCATCTCAAGCCAGAGGACGAGAGGACTCTAGCCGCCACGCATATAAAGGATTTAGAGTGAAAAACTTTGTTTTTACGGGTTATACTTATTTGATTGTTGAGTGGATGACTCCACTTTTTATCCCAGGCGACAGCAGACTAAGTGTTTCTCACCGAACATTCGAGCTAACAATAACATGTTTAGGAATCATCGTCAAGATACCAACAGCACAGAGTGTGTACTCTTACATACTTTAAACACATTCATAAAACTAACCACACTTCAAAATGAGCAAACCTGCCGATCGACTTTGGTGGTAACTGTGGTGAACCCATTTATACTGCTGGGGGGGGGGGGGGGGCAGTGATTGGGGGGCGGGTGGTCAGTGGGGGGGGGGGGGCGATTTAAGAAACTTGTCCCATTGCTTCAACTGCGGCACCACGTGATGGATTTGAAGCGGCGTCCTCCCGATTGCAAGCCGAGTGTGCCAACAAGTTACACCGCGGCCGCATTTCCCAAGATGCAACACGGGATTGGTGTATACGTGTATAGATATATGAGAAATAAGCTCGTGTATACGTGATGCTAACAAGCTCTAGGTTTGCTCCACGTGCATTCTGTGTACAAGGGAGAGCCGAGCATGCCACAAAGTCCACACAGGATGAAATACAATGTCGTAGAGCGGATTCAGTAATTCCTCCTTTTTTGTAATGCGGAAACCCCACAGAGCTAAATCAGACAGCCCCAAATTGCGGCACCACGATTTCCCTTTAATACCAAAATTGCAATAATCCATTTCGAAGTCGCAGCCGTGCAACGAATTATAGGGCACACCTTTACATGGAGAAATTGGCAAAAAAGGCGGCGAGTGTTTGATCATCTGAATCCCTGGTAATTCTTGTAATATTATCCTCACAAATGGATTTAGTGGATCACACGCAAATCATGGGTATAGATTCACACTTATTGCAAAGCTAAGCTAGCTAAGCTATTTTAAAACATATTAACAGGTAAGGCCTCCTGAGCTATATCTAGCGCTTTTTCAGAAGCGACTTGGTCATCGCAAACGATAGCTTAATGAAGCGGCTTATTGTCACGTGGAAATTGATAGCAGCCAAATACTCTAAACGCGTGATGTTGATTCTAAATGTGGAGGGAAAAACCGGAGGACCCAGAGAAAAATCCACGCGACCACGAGGAGAGAGCCACGGAAACTCCAAATATACAGGCATCAGTTTAACACGTAGGCTTTCGTGACCAATATTATTCCCAACAGAGGTTTTGGGTTAGATCGTGTAAATATAAATGCGTCGTTAAACACGCCACCACCCGACAAAGCCAATTAGTAAGCTTTGTGACGTTAACAAAACATGCCAATTTGTTACTAGTTCAGCACACCGGTTGTGTTGGAGAGTTTACTCACAACATTGTAAATGGGTTTACCGGTGTGCTGAAATAGTAACGAATTGGTATATTTTGTTTACGTGACAAATGTTACTAATTGGCTGGTGGCGGGTTTAACGTCACATTTATTTTCACACAATCTAACCCAAAAAACATCTCATTATGGATATAAAATAATTGTCAGGGTCGGGATTAAACCCACGACCTCCTGTAGACTTGACGAGGTAGTTGTCATCTCGTTACCGTGGCACCCCACGGTACAAACTTTGCCACAATATGGACAAGTAGGAATCCTCGCTGACACACGAGTGAGGGGGCCCCACTGTGCGTGTGACGAACTTCCCCTCTGTCTGATTCTTCACTCGCACTGCTCTATAAGGCATTGTGCCTCTGCCACAAAGCCTTCATATCCGCCTGCCCGCCGTATCTTTCTTCATTATTGACAACTTGCAGCTCAGCACATGGCAGATGCCTGCGCAGCGCGACTCACGACCTCCTCTTGATACCAAGATCCAGGATGGTCATCGTGTCTATGCGCCGCTTCTCGGTGGCAGCCCCAACAGTCTGGAACGATAATCCCTCTGCACATTCGCAGCATCACCTCAATCGCCTCCTTCAAGAGAGACTTAAAAACTCACCTCTACAATCACGTGCTTTCGAGCGACTCTGAGCTTGGCTCCGCGCCTCTGAGTTGCGGCCACTACGTCTGCAAATTTGCTCGCGTTACAAATTGAACTATCATTATTATTATTAATTCCCTCCCATCATCTCGATTTCCACGCGCTCTTACAAGAAAAATTAACCTTCGCTCAGTTCAACAAACGTGTTCACTCCCGTGCATTGCACGTGCGCTCCTGCGGCCGTCTGGAACGCTCTTCCCTCCGGTATTCCTGAGAAAGCTAAATTTCATTCTCAGGAAGAACGTAATCAACCAGGTAGGGTGTTGACTGTTATGTTATCCGACTATCTGTTGAATTACATTACATTTCTAAGTATACTAGATTTGTGTTTCTATTTCATTTATACCCGATGATGATTGCTTGCGTTGCAATCGAAACGTCGTATGGTAGTATTTAATTTATTATTTTATCTTCATACGTGACTTTACCGAAAGAACCAACGAGTAATTCCTGCAGTCACGAAAGCTCCAAATTAAGTTTTAAAAAACGTATTTCTTGAGCACTGTTTTTCGTGTTTGGTATGTTGTCCTTCTTGCGCACCTCCGATTGGCATGGTTGGCTATGTACGGCGCGAAAGAAGTCCAGCGTAAGTACGTGCACTTTCAATCGTGCTGTTTGTTGCTGGCAACTATATGATGACAAACGCATGACTAAATAACGTGCGCAAAGCAACAAGGCATCCGTATGGGATGACGGCAACGAGGTTGCTGACCTGTCTGTTTTGCGTGCTGTGATGATGGTCCTCTCCTCGTAAGTGTCGTGGAGAGATTGTAACCCTGCCATAGGAATGTGGAATTTCCACATCGGGGCTGCTGAACGGGAGATGAAGCACAGCCTCGGTGTTCACTCGAGCAGGAAATTACTTGAAGCTTTTTTTGCTTTTATTAATTTACTATGTCGGGGAAGGGTTCTAGTTCTATTGCAATGTTTATATTTATCAAGATAGCCGAGCCGAATGCAAAGGCTAAACGCAGGGAGAGGGGGGCACGGCTACATACAAGGTAAACCATGTTCAGTGCAGAAACTAAACAGGTGATACAAAACGAAAGCGTGAAGCTTGCAGAATATCTGCGCTAACATACACATTAAAGAATCTAACTCGGTGCAAAAAAACAAAAACATAATGTGCCTCGGAGCACTGATATATTGTACAGTCAGATGCGTCTCACTTTTGTAAGGTCAATGAACGCATTGATTTTATTTATTAAGCAATTAGCATGCGCCGGTATCTTATTGCGGTTATTGCAATGGTGGTGTCGTCATTACGAGATGAAGTTAGCAATGTTAACTTTGGCAAAGCAGTGGATCACCTCCGTGGGTGTTATGGAACGGTCCACAGAATGAGATGAAATCACTCCAGGTGACCCGTTTCCATCCACACTTTCTCACATGCCCTCGGTAGAGAGAAATGTGTTGCATGACCGTCAAACAAGTAAAGTTGTTTTTATTCTCAGAGCTGAAATTAGTGAATTTAAGCGAAAAAAACGAATTCAACAATGTTGTGTGTGTGTGTGTAGTTATTGGAAATAATAATTTCAACTTGTAGCGTGCAGCCGTGCGGCATTCGCCCGCTCTCAAGGACAGAGAACGACGGAGAGAAACCACTGAGGAACGGGCGTCAAATCCCCCCAAGCTCTGCGGTCCTCTACGTATTAAGATGTTTCAATCTAACGAATGAGTGCATCCCATGGACAAATCATATTTTCTTGGTTCTTTCGGTAAAGTCACGTAGAAGGGAAGTAATAAAATAATTAAAATAAAACATAATCAAATTAAATTCTCACGACGTTTCGGCCACAACGCAAGCAGCCGTCCTCAGGTGAAGAAACAAAGCTGTCGGCAGTATTCATTAAGATGCTGTCTTTCCGACAGCTCTGTTTCTTCACCTGAGGACGGCTGCTTGCGTTGTGGCCGAAATGTCGTGAGAATTATTTTATAATGTTTTATTTTTATTATTTTATTACTTCCCTTCTACGTGACTTTACCGAAAGAACCAAGAAGATGAATCCCTGCAGTCACGAAAGCTTTAAATCGAAATTCAAATCATATTTCTTACTGGTCAAGCGTCCAACGACTCACCACCATGAGCGTGTCCTGCTGAGCTGGCGGTCTGACTGGGACGTGGGGTCCAGACGGTGCCAATTCTGCTTCTCCCTCCTCATCCTCTTCCTCCTCATCCTCCTCCTCCTCTGCGGCGGCGGCCTTCCTTCCTTGCTCCGTCGTCGTGGTCACGGTTATCGTGGTGGTGGTCTCCACGAGCGTCGCGGTGGAGGTGCGCGGGCCGGCGGCGGCGGCGGCGGGCCCGGTGGGCTCAGCGGTCGCTGTGGCGGTCGCCGTTGCGATCAGCGTCGCCAGGTGGGGCGACATCCCGCGGACCACCCGCAGGGCGCCCTCGGTCCGCGTGTGCGCGTCGCTCGCGGCCGCCAAGTTCAGAACCTGGTGGGAGGAGTAAAAAAATAACAACGACGACCGAGGGCCACGTCACAGTTGCCACCCCTGATAATTGTTTTTTTTTTTACCCTTCTATCTGGCAACAAAACTGACACCTATTTTACAAGGAGTCATGTTTGCATAGATCACAATACCTGCAGTCGTAATGCAAACAAAAAACATAACTCTGTATGCAATGTCCTTGAAGTTGATTGGTCCACGTCCGAGACAGCTTTCCTTAGAGCCTAGTCTCACATGGTGTTGAACCAGATGGCGCCAAAAGGCGCACAACTCAAAGACAATGCACCATCAGAGTATGAGAGCTCGGGGCAAGCATTTACACCATTGGAACCTCATTTGCCAGTAAAAAATATGATGATTGGTTTTTTACCCTTCTATCTGGTAACAAAACTGACACCTATTTTACAAGGAGTCATGTTTGCATAGATCACAATACCTGCAGTCGTAATGCAAGCAAAAAACATAACTCTGTATGCACTGTCCTTGAAGTTGATTGGTCTACACCCGAGACAGCTTTCCTTAGAGCCTAGTCTCACATGGGTTGGACCAGATGACGCCAAAAGGCGCACAACTCAAAGACAATGTACCATCAGAGTATGAGAGCTCGGGGTAAGCATTTACACCATTGGGATAGGTGTCAGTTTTGTTGCCAGATAGAAGGGTAAAAAAACAATTATCATAATTTTTTACTGGCAAATCAGGTTCCAATGGAGTTGCCACCTCTGTTGCGTAGGTCTTGAGGAGGGTGGGGCGTGGAGGAGGTGGGCGGTAGCGCAGGTGACAGGGCAGCAGGTAACGCTCTCTCTGAATGATATTTTTTTCACCCTCATTCCCGGTGTAATCGCGGCGTGCGATTTGCAGGTGTGAGACAACACCGTGGCATTCCATGTTTTTTGGGTCTTTCGTTGAAGTCACGTAGATAGATTTCGATTTAAAGCTTTCGTGACTGCAGGGATTCATCTTCTTGGTTCTTTCGGTAAAGTCACGTAGAAGGGAAATAATGAAATAAAATAAAAACATAATAAAATAACGTAGATAGGTTCAAGGAAAATAACAAAAACTACGACGTTTCGATCGCAACACCCCCCCCCCCCCCACCATTTTTCCTGATGACGACTGCTTGTGTTGCGGTCGAAACGTCGTAGTTTTTTGTTATTTTCTTTGAACCTATCTACGTGACTTTACCGAAAGACCCAAAGAATATGAATTCCTGCAGTCACGAAAGCGTTTAAGTCAAGATGTAACCGTGCCCTTTCTTTTGCACTGATTAAGAGACTCGTTGGCTGGCTTACGTCGAGTGAACTGCAGTTAAATAACTGTTACGTAATTTGCTTCTAAACTAAACTAATTAAACTTAATCTGGAGCTTCCGTGACTGTAGGAATTACTCTTTGGTTCTTTCGACAGACTTGTTCTTCACCTGAGGACGGCTGCTTGCGTTGTGGCCGAAACGTCGTGAGAATTATTTTATTATGTTTTATTTTTATTATTTTTTATTTCCATTCTACGTGACTTTACCGATAGAACCAAGAAGATGTACAGGAACTGTTTGTAAAAGGAGTGCCCCCCCCCCCCCACCACTGCCAAATCACTTCATTGCTATGCGGCATACATGAACTAGAAAAAAATCTCTTTGAAATTAACCTTTTGATGGAATCACCCATTTTCCCGATTAGCGTTCTTCACAATTGTGCCCCGTGAAAGTGCGCTATTTTCTACCGAAAAACTAATCAGTGAGAAATTAATTTTTGTTTTTAAAATAAAGTATTTTTTACTCCGCAGCTCATAAAAGAGCGCGCGTACCTACAGAGTGTACAGTATCTGGCCAAGTATCCTTTAATAGACCATGCTGAGTGACCCTTGTGTTAAAATATTGATTGCGATCATTTGACAACCATGTTTTTTCTTTACCCACAAACCCTTCCTGCCTCCCCCTCCCCCTCACTTAATCTCAAGACTCTCGCAGGCGCACCCTGATTTTGGATATTTGACCAATCCCTAATTAACATCTCTTTTTTTACCTTGAAGGAAACCAGAGTGCATGGAGTACACTCTAAGCACACCAGGGGAAAATACTCAAATGGAATATTTTCGGGTCGGCAGAAACCAACCCACTCCAAGATGCCTCCTACAAGCCCACCATCGTACAAATCTACAGGTTTGGAGTCATCGGCCGCATCTCTTTGCGATCCAGTTGAGGCTCGGGGTGGCCGCGTTCCCACGATAATCCCGTGGCAGGTCGTCACGGCATATCAGGGAACAGCCATGGAAGATAATGTCGCAGAACTCTTTCGTTTTATTATCGTTAATCCGGTCGTTGGCGAGCAGAGGCAAAAAGAAAAAAATCGCAGAGCAACAAAGAGCACTAAAGAAGATGGAACAGATAACAATTAATGCCCTTTCTGAATAGAGCAAGATTATAAGAACTCGGGTGGGGGGGGGGGAGAAAGAGATGGGAGACAATTCCAAGTGTCGGCGAGCAGTGCGAGGAAAATGAAGCAGAAAGACAAAGTGTGGTGAGCTGCGGTGTGTCGGTTCAACAGGGTGCATGGGAGAGATGAAGGAGGGGGTGTCTGCGTATGGCACAGTAGGGAGTACAGCTGGTGGTGCATCTGCCGGTAATCTCAGTCAGCCAACCCATGGCACCTGCTGGGTCTGTCCCGAGACCTCCTGCACCTAGCCTGGCACAGTAGGGAGTACAGGTGGTGGTGCATCTGTCGGTAATCTCAGTCAGCCAACCCATGGCACCTGTTGGGTCTGTCCCGAGACCTCCTGCACCTAGCTTGGCACAGTAGGAGGGTACAGCTGGTGGTGCATCTACCGGTCATCTCAGTCAGCCGACCCATGGCACCTGCTGGCTCTGTCCCGAGACCTCCTGCACCTAGCCTGGCACAATAGGGTGGTACAGCTGGTGGTGCATCTACCGGTCATCTCAGTCAGCCGACCCATGGCACCTGCTGGCTCTGTCCCGAGACCTCCTGCACCTAGCCTGGCACAGTAGGGGAATACAGCTGGTGGTGTATCTACCGGTCATCTCAGTCAGCCGACCCATGGCACCTGCTGGCTCTGTCCCGAGACCTCCTGTACCTAGCCTGGCACAGTAGGGGGGTACAGCTGGTGGTGCATCTACCGGTCATCTCAGTCAGCCGACCCATGGCACCTGCTGGCTCTGTCCCGAGACCTCCTCCTGTCAGCGAGCCTTCGACACTTCACGTGGCCTCAAAGTGCACCTAGCCTGGCACAGGCGCCCTGGTCACGTCACCGTCACTTAGTGGCGAATGGCGGTGGTAGTAGTAGTGGTGTTGGTGTTGGTGAGTGGTCGACCGAGTCGGCGACGTGGGTGGAGGAAGCATGGAGTGAAGTTCACGGGAGCAGTGACCGTGGTAAGTAGCGGGAGAAGAGTGATAGGGAGAAAACTGACCATCGGTGAGATTAGTAAAATATGAAGTCGTCTTTGTCTTGGACCAGATATACCTTGACAAAGAGCATTTACAGTCGTCTGGATGGGTTGTACGTATGTTGAACTTCTTTCGCACCGTGCATAGCCAACCGTGCTGAATCGGAGGTGCGACAAATTCTCACCTGTGCTGCGCGTACAGGTAATCTCCACAGGTATCTCACTGCCATGGCCCCTGGCCACGTGCTCATCCCGTTGGGAGGTTACGTCGCGGGAAATTCACGCCTGCCAGCCGTTCGACGAATTGTCACGAATCGGAGTTGCGATTCGGTTCAATTCAAACATCGTCAACTCTTTTTTGTTGTTTTCTCGTGTTTGACATTTCGTTGACGTCGCCTTCTCGTGTTTGTCTTGTGTGTACAGTCAGATTCGTTCACTCAGTCTAAGCGAAATGCAACATTCCCGTGAATGCGTGCGTCTGCGGGGGAGTGGTGGAGCAGCGGTTAGCGCGCTGCGCTTACGAATCCGATGATCCGAGTTCAGGTCCCGCTCACGACCAATAACGGTGGCGAACGTTTGAACGGGTTCTGGGCCTCCTCTAGGTCGACTCAGCCATAAAAGAGTACCTGATGCGGCGTGCAAATTTCAGCAAAGGCGGCCGGGTGTGGTGCTGGCCACCCACCCCCTTGTGTGCCGTGCCGGCCTTCGTATGTGCTCGCTAACAGCACTTGCCCGAGCAGTGTGCTAAGGCTACACTGGGGGGGGGGGGATCTTTGTCTTTGACATTGACCAACTGACCTTGAGGCCATTGTAGTAAAGGCCAGAGAGGAGGCCTTGGAACGGATGGGGTCGGTCACGTCCTCCGATTCGGATCCACGCTTGGCTGTTGAAAATGGTCAGCTGCCGCACTGGGGGAAATAGGTGGAAACACACAAGCAGGCAAGCAAGACGCGGCTGTTAATGCCCTTCGTCGTCGTCATCACCATTAGTCACAGTGACGTAGGTAGCCATTGAGTAGACAGGGGATGGAAATCCAAGATGGCACAAATTGAACAGGGGACCCACAGTGGCATTCCTTGCACTGGGTTCAGTTTAGTTCAGTTAATTGATTAGGTGTAGCCCTGTGAGCCATTCGAGCTCTTGAATCGGGTGCAACCGCAACAAACAAAAAACATGAACAAGAAACATCTTAAAGAAATGGCAACCACGTTACACACCACTTATCACCCTTGATATTATCCACTGCTGGATGCAGCTCCCCCTCCCCCCCGCCAACCCCTGCACATCAGCTGACATCATCTCTCAGATCTAGACGGTGGGGCCATTCTCCTGGGCTCGCTGTCCTACGTTCGCTGTCGTTCGCGGTCGTCCGTATCGTCCGTATCGTCCACGAGTCGTCGTGAAGTCTACACGCGCCCTGACCAGCCGCGCGCGCCTTCCGCTCTCTCGGTGCAAGTTTCACCAAGCTGCCGGGGAGCACGACATTACTTGGGCACGTGTCGCGGAAGGTTCCCGCAAGAGCCCAACCGTGCCCGTCCAGTGCTACCCGCGCTGCGCCGTTGGCCTTCAGGTGGCACGAACGACGACGTCGTTACTAAAGGTCGCCCTCGTTACACACGAACGTGACCACGGTACCTCGCGGATCTCGTCGAGGATCATAAATCATCACGTGACACTCCGGTTATCCTCGCAGCAGCAGCAGCAGCAGCGGCTTTTTGTCTGCTGCCATCATACACAAGGATTGAATATAACTTTTGTATTCTCTGCCATAAGCCTGGGGGGTGGGGGGAGGTGAAGGTGGGGGGAGGAGGTGGGGAGGGAGGTGGGTGGGGGGGGCATCCAGCCCAGCCCAGAGATGTTATTGACCTGTATCAGATTGTTATCCAGGAACGCTCGCCCTGTAATGCATTACATTATGATAGCCTATCGCATTGTGCTTTGAAATGTGCGCGTGATAGACGGCACCTTTGTGGAGCAATGCGACCTCCGTGCTCTGTGCGTTGACCTGACACACTGCTCGGACACTCTCGGTTGGCAGCCGTTGCTGAGCGCGCGATTTCGGCGTGGCCAGGGTCATCGGCGGCACGTCGTGCCGGGGAGGCGTTCGCGGGGTGAGACAACTTTACTGGCAGGTGGCAACGATGGGTGGGTGGGCACACAGACGGGTGGGTGGGCGGGCGCGTAGGTGGGCGCATAGGTGAGCGGGTGGGCACACAGGTGGGTGGGCACGCAGGTGGGTGGGCATGCAGGTGGGCGGGTGGGCACACAGGTGGGTGGGCACACAGGTGGGTGGGCACACAGGTGGGTGGGCACACAGGTGGGTGGGCACGCAGGTGGGAGGGTGGGCACACAGGTGGGTGGGCACACAGGTGGGTGGGCACGCAGGTGGGTGGGTGGGCACATAGGCAATGCCACGGTGGGGCCAGAGGGATATTTGCTGTTGACAGGTAGTAATCCTGGAATCCGCGTGACTTCACGTTGATGTGGCACAGCAGCGAGGTCAATGTTGGGATTTGGATTTCGTTCGTTGCGAATGTGAAACGGCGCTACAAACGAGACGGGGCCGAATTAGAGATCGCAATCATACCAAGAAGGATGGTAAAAGCGTGAAGAAAAACGAAGTAATTGGCAAATCTAACCGTCGTTTATAACCTCAACAAACGAATCGGTGACCAGGGACTGCATCGCGTTCATTTCCCATCACGTACGTGACGCTGAATTGTCGTTACCGAGAACGATCGTCATCATCGTCGCACGCCGTAGAGAAGCGTTGTGGCTAATAATGAAAAACAATCTACAACGCATTAAATAGTCGATGCGTGCGTATATCACCGCGATGATTGAAACCCGTGGGTACGAGGGCCGCTGGTCACATCTTGAACGTGCGGCGATGCCACTAAAAAGGCGGCGCGAGGGGGATTGATGTGGGTGGCGAAATATCGCGACGTGAAAATGACGACGCTCCCAGGCACGTCCACATCCCTGGCCCCGCTGTTAATAATATCGGGAAAAACGTGAACCGAGTCCATCGTTCCGTTTGACCTTGACGGAAACCTGTGTTCGATCTCGTTTTTGTTTTTACACACACAACGTTAAATGGCCTTGTGAATACGATGGACGGGTGGGCTTCGTGGTCAGTTGATTGAATGGTCTCCCGTACAAAAAACTAATTTTATTTTGTTTACCGGCTAAATTCCACCGTCGAGCGATTTTTTTCAGAGGCGACCTCGTCACACGCTATAGCCCAACGAAGTGGCTTGTATCATCGTCGTCGTCATTATCATCATCATCGTCATTACAACTCGTGGGAATTTATAGTAGCAGCAAAATCATCTTAAGCGCGTGTTGTTTCTTAATGTGGAGTGGGGGGGGGGGATGGGCAAAACCGGAGGATCCCGGAGAAAAATCCACGGCCCCTTTTGCCTTGTTGTTTCGTGGCATACGTGAGCACACAGGTGGGGGGAAGGGGGGGGCATACTTCATCACTTGTTGTGTGCGGGGCACCGGCTGGATTCTCATTGGGTGAGTGCAGATGCTGGCAATTCGCCGCATGGCACCCATTAGACTTGAAGTGCACTTCGCCGTACCGTTCCCACTTTGCATTCCGTGCGAGTGTGAATAGAAATTAATCATGGGTGGCCCACTCTTTTGTGATGCACCACGACGATGAAGATGATGATCGCTATGAGCAGTATTAACTGCATCGTTTTGCTCGCTTGTGTGTTTCCACCTATTGTTGCCCGTAGTGCGACAGCCGTGTGTCCGCGTAGCCAACCGCGCTGATCGGAGGTGCGCGTGGTTAGGACAGCAAACTAAAGCACAAAAAGCAACTAAAACAAAAAAAAAACAGCTGACCGCTTTCAATAGCCGAGCGTGGATCCGTATCTGGGGACGTGACCGACCCCATCCATCCCAAGGCCTCCTGTCTGGTCTTTACTACAATGGCCTGAAGGTCAGTGGTCAATGCCAAAGACAAAGATCCCCCATACAGCCTAAATAGCCTGTTAGGGCAAGTGCTGTTGGCGAGAACCGACGGCGACCGGCACGGCACGCGAGGAGGTGGTGTTGGCCAGCACCACGCCCGGCCGCCTTTGTCTCCCCCTTGCTGATATTTACGCACCGCACCAGGTACTCATTTGAGGCCGAGTCCACCCAGAGGGAGGCCCCAAACCGGTGCAAACATTCGCCACCGTAATTGGCCGTGAGAGCGGCGATCCAACTCGGATTCGGCGGATTCATAGCGCAGTGCGCTGACTGCTGCGCGCGCAGGCACGCACCCGCTCAGAGCGTTCACGCGCGCGCGCACGCGCACTCACGATGACGTAGGTGCACGCGCGCGCACACGCGCACTCACGATGACGTACGTGCACGCACGCGCGCACTCACGACGACGTACGTGCACGCGCACGTGCACTCACGATGACGTACGTGCACGCGCACTCACGATGACGTACGTGCACGCACGCGCGCACTCACGACGACGTACGTGCACGCGCACTCACGATGACGTACGTGCACGCGCGTGCACTCACGATGACGTACGTGCACGCGCACTCACGATGACGTACGTGCACGCGCACGTGCACTCACGATGACGTACGTGCACTTCAACGATTTCTGCGATGGCAAAGATACACTGCTGGATGAAGGCCTCCCCAAGCCACGTGTCGATTCACTGGTTTGTTATTGTCGACTCTCCTCGTCATAGGAATGTGGAATTCCAGCCGTTTGGCTGAGAGATGAGGACAAATGCCTCAATGGTCGTGTGAGTAGGACATCACTTTCATATCGATACCTTCAATTGCCCAACCATCTAACGCCCCCCACCCCACACTTCTGTAACTCGCACTGACCAGCGCGGTGAAGTATAGTCAAATACCGTAACCCCCACAACACATCACGCACCCCAAGGGGCGACTCTCATCCAGCAGTGGAATGACAAACGGCCTGTACGCGCGAGTTCCTGTTAAGGCCAGATCACTGCACACAAGGTGATCGGGTTGTGTTGGTGAGGTTAACACTGCACACATGGTGAGTGTGTTGTGTTGGTGAGGCCGCACACTGAGATCTGGTTGTGTTGGTGAGGCCGGAACACTGAGATCTGGATGTGTTGGTGAGGTTGACACTGCACACAAGGTGAGTGTGTTGGGTTGGTGAGGCCGTAACAACTGAGAGCTGGTTGCGTTGGTGAGGCCAACACTGAGATCTGGTTGCGTTGGTGAGGCCAACACTGAGATCTGGTTGGGTTGGTGAGGCCAACACTGAGATCTGGTTGTGTTGGTGAGGCCGCACACTGAGATCTGGTTGCGTTGGTGAGGCCAACACTGAGATCTGGTTGTGTTGGTGAGGCCAACACTGAGATCTGGTTGCGTTGGTGAGGCCAACACTGAGATCTGGTTGTATTGGTGAGGCCGCACACTGAGATCTGGTTGCGTTGGTGAGGCCAACACTGAGATCTGGTTGCGTTGGTGAGGCCAACACTGCACACATGGTGAGTGTGTTGGGTTGGTGGGGCTGGAACACTGAGATCTGATTGTGTTGGTGAGGCTAACACTGTACACAAGGTGAGTGTGTTGGGTTGGTGAGGCCACACACTGAGATCTGGTTGTGTTGGTGAGGCCAACACTGCACACATGGTGAGTGTGTTGGGTTGGTGAGGCCGGAAACACAGAGATCTGGTTGTGTTGGTGAGGCCACACACTGAGATCTGGTTGTGTTGATGAGGCAGGAACACAGATCTGGTTGTGTTGATGATGCAGGAACACTTAGATCTGGTTGTGTTAGTGAGGCTGACACTGCACACAAGGTGAGTGTGTTGGGTTGGTGAGGCCGGAAACAGAGATCTGGTTGTGTTGGTGAGGCTAACACTGCACACATGGTGAGTGTGTTGGGTTGGTGAGGCCGGTAC